TATATCAGCACAAATTTTTTTTTTCTATTTTCTAAATACATTATAAGTACATCTTTCATTTGACATATTTTTTATTAAAATTGGACAATTTCTCCTTATATAGGGGGCGTTCAAAACTTAAAATATTGTAAAAAACATAAATTTTTTTCAACTTAATTTTTGAAAATGTTCCGGAAATACTGCGTCCTTTAAACATATATCAAATTAAAGCTTATTTTATGTACTATCAAATGAAAAAAAAAAATTTGTCCCGACATCTTATCTTCTATGTGCAAATGGCTGTCGAAAATTTAAAAAAAAATGTAATGTTTGCGATAAAAATGACCTTTTATCGGGATGTTTTTTGTACTTAAAACTGCCATAACTTTTTCAAAAATGAACAAATAAAAATAATATTTTTTTGTATTGAAACCTTAGATATTTCCCTTTCATTTGATATAATTTTTTTTGAAAATCTAACACTTATTCTGCTCACTGAGGGAATTTAAAATAGTAATTTTTTTACAAAAAATAACTTTTTCAACTTGATTTTTGATAATGTTCCGGAAATACTGCGTCCTTTAAACATATATAAAATTAAAGCTTATTTTATGTACTACAAAATGGAAAAAAAAAAATTTGTCCCGACGACCTATCTTCTATACGCAAATGGCTACCATATTCAAAAATATGCTATTTTTGTATGAAAATTATGGGTTTTGTATTTTATTTTAATAGAAGTTGATGTTGCTTTTGCAATTATGCAACAATTTTTTAAAATTAAACACCATCTACAGATTTGCATCGAAGCGTTTCTTATGATAGTGATTTTAATCACTGTCAGATTAAATCTATACTGAACCCAACTATGCAATGTCTCCACTATGCCGCGACCCCACTGTGCTACCATTTTTTTTAATTTTATACCAATATAAACCTAATATATATAAACCTTAAGTCGATAGTGGGTGATAACAGGTTATTTTTTCAGTAAGTTTTTCAATTAATAATTTCAGTTTTCACTTAGTTCTATATAAGTTAATTCGTGTTTATCAATAGAATATTTAATATTTACTGAGTTACGAATTGTTATACTAAAAAATTCATACTATTTTACGTGTATTTTTAATATTTTAATTGAAATATTTACACATCGTTTTTTGGTATGCATAAAATATTCATTCACTATCATTTTACAAATAGATGTTTTATGCTACTGTTCGTTTGGTAATCTTAAAGACTTAAACACTAGGTTTTAAACTAAATAGTATCACTAACTCCTACGTATTTACATTCGTGTAAGTTTGGTTGCATCAACATCTCAAGGAGTCATTTTTGCTTTTGTGTATAAAACTATGTCTAGTAAAGGAGATTCTCCTTAACTGCCTCGAGAGGAACTTCTAGCCGGACCGGCAGTAGTGTTAAAACTTCGTCGTTAGTAAATTCTATCACTAATAAGGATCTTATGGGCAAAAATGTAAGTAGACTTTCGAAGCAGCATAATCGGGTAATAATTTGAGAGGCAGCATTTGGAGAGATCGGTGCCATAACTCAACTTTAACAATGTCACTGATTAAGTTGTTCCTTAAAAAATTTGTGGATACCACCAAAGTTGCAGCAATGAATGTTGAGTGCAAAGATGATACTATGTAGTAAACTTTGTACCCAGGCGTTTAAGTCTTCAAGAAAACATCAGAGATGAACAGCTGATTTGTAATCGTATGGAACGGATGTTGCTAAGACATAAATTATACTCACGATTATCCACGGCCAGAATGAAGATTGACAATTTACAAACTGTTGTACTGCCTTATATAGTTGAATAATACGAACAGAGGTTGAAAGAGTTTTAAAAAAGATAAAAAACAATACTAGTGAAAAAAGAATACACAAACACTATAGAAAAAAATAAACTTATAAAAGAGTGATGATCACTAGATAACATTATCATATATTAATTATAGTTAATTATGCATGACATTTTGTAAATTAATAAAATAATTATGAGATTAAACTGAATAAAGTTTTACCACCCAACACAAAGTAGTATTAGAACTCTAGTGATTGATTTCAATGATAAATGTACGAATTTGATTTTGACTTTTTAATACTCTACTAAATAATATTTGTTCAATATGACAACAACAAAAATTTGTAATACATAACTTATATCACCAAAGAATCAGTATTTCATGAGAAATTTGAAATCAACCACGAGATTTCTAAAACATGATTTAAGAATGAAAGTTAAAAAATTTGTTGGAAACAAGTTTCCTACAAATACAATATCTTAGAGTATTATCGTTACATATTTGTCAGTAGTATGACTACGAAGATGACGATATAATGAACTAATTTTGTCTAGACTCAATTTCAATTTTACACCACAGAATTAGCTATAAGACTAAACAACCTTACACTAAGAAGGCTTGAAACCAAGAGAGAGATGATATTTTTTATTTTAATTATTTAACGCCAAACGGCAATTTACAGGAATAATATTATGGTAACATAAATATACAACATAATATAACAAAAAGAAGAGAAAAAAAAATGTACATGCATATATTTAAAACATAGAGTAAGAAACTATGACAACAAAATAATGATGACAATAAATTTAAGATTTATAAGATATAATATATAATTAATATAAGACAGTTAAATTTTATAAAAGTAAATGTGACCAAAAAACTAAGTATTATTGAAAGAGCGTAGCATTCTGTGTATTGGATTATTATTATTATAGGAGGTATGATTGCTGCAAGAAAGGGCTGAAAATTTTTAGACAGACGCAAAAAGTCACTCGATATCCGAGCTAGAGGAAGATTCAGGTATTCCTCTAACAATAATATTACGAGAACATTTTTCCCTTTCCGAGATTTCTTGCAGTGTTACTTGGACACTATCAGCATTAGAATGAGGACTACTTTTGTACGTTTCAATGGAATTTACACGTTTTGTCAGGTCAGCAACATTATTTTAGAGAACAGTATTCTCTGATTTGAGGTTAGCAACTTGTAAAGTTAATACCTTTAATGCAGCCTTAAGCTCAGCAAATTTATCACTTTGGGACTGACACAGTAATTTACATTGAGACAAAGTATCTTCCTGAGTTTTACGCAGCTCATTCATTGTTTGATGAAAATCTTCCAAAGACAGGGAAGTGGAAGAAGATGAAGGCGTTTTAGATGATTTGGCAGACGAATTAGAGGAAGAGCGGATTAAAATTTGTGAAGTTTTAGGAGAATTAGAGGTCATCTTTACTGGAAATATATTGGCGTAAGAAGCTCCTGATGTTAGTGAAACGCAACCTAAACTACAGCGATGTGTTTTAAAGTAAAGAGTTTGAGTGTGTCAGTTAATGGCCACCGTTAAAATCATCAAGATAAACAGCTGATAGAAAAAGCGAAATGGATGATCCACGAGAGAGTTCTTGATAACAACAATAAGTACATACAATTTGTGTAATAGAAATTTCGGTAATTATGAACTAATACGCAAAAAATTGAACTGAATTGACTCACAATGTTAAAGCAAAACTCAACTGCGAGTTAATAAATAAAAAAGTACACTTAATTATTTTATTAAATTCAAAAAATGCTAAGAGAAATTTACCATTTTTTTGTTATCAAAATATATACGATTTTCAAGCGTCTAACCGCTCTCCTGACCATTGATAAGAGAAACAATTAATGACCAATCTGTATGATCATGACTTACGATAAATTTTACAGGGCGCAAACAGCTGTCTTTTAAAAAATATACATTCTCTGGTCAATTAGGCGACTCTTTTGTGTTTCAAAGGGTACGCGTAAAAATTGTTGAAAAATCACTTAAAGAGACAAAAATTATTTTTTCTGCATTATTTCTTTCACAAATATCTTCTAGTTTTTGACATTGTCCTTTAATATAAAAAAACAATTACTCGTACCCTGTAAATTTGGAAATTCTCCCAAAAAATTTCTGTTTTAAAAATCAGTAATTTTCAACATTTCTTTTCTTGAAAGTGCCATATTTTTTCCAAAAATGAAAAAATCAAAATACCTTTTTTTATATAGAAACCTTATGTCTACTTATTAAAATAAAAAAAAGCTTATGTTATGTACTACAAGTTAAAAAAAAAAATTATCCCGATGACCTATTTTCTATGTGCAATTGGCAGTTGAAGTTGAAGAAAAAATATGATTTCATTTTGTTTTTGAATCAATCCACTAATTTATTAAAATGAAACACAAATTTGCATCGAAATAATAGTGATTTTAATCTCTGTCCAATATTATCTCTAATTTTCCCATCTATGCAACGACCTTGCTGTGCTACAGTTTTTTAATTAATACCCATATGTTACTTTTGAATTAAAATGTACAATAATTTGTACTCCATTATTTATTATACTTCAAAATATTTTTTATTTAGTATTGATAAGCACTGAAACATTGTTTCCGAAATACGTATCTGTGTCTTTTCAGTAATTTTTTTGTGGCAATTGGGTTTAATATTTTTCAGTTTTTTAAATTAATAATATTTTTAATATAGATTTAATTTTATTTAATTAATTAACCATAATTGATCAATTCTTATTATATTATTACTTATTGCTAGAAAACCTAAGATGATTATGCTCTAGGAGATTTCAAGTACATTTCTTTGCGCAACCTTTAGTCGTATTTAAAGGCAAACAAGTCGATTTTCATAATAGCAAAAAGTTTTACAATTCATACGCACAATGCCATACAATGTACTACAGTAACAGATGAATAACCTCTACTGGAATACATAAATTACAAAAAAACGTGGACTTATAGTTATGATTGATTGTAATTATTGATAAAAAATTTTTTTTATTTTTTCAATATTTATCATAATATTATTGTTTATTATAAAATTTTTAGTCCAACACCTAACAGTTACTAAAAAAAAAATTACACAAAATTTTAATTAAATTAAAAGTTATTAGTGTTATCATAACATACAGGGCAATTCTGAATATTTATTTATTAATAAAATAAAATATTTACTTTAAAATAATGATGATTAACACAACCGAATAGAGAAGATACTGCAATTTTTTCAATAGTATACATATACTTTTTATCTAGATTCCAATCGTTTTTCACACTCTTGTTAATAAGTTCAACCACATTTTTCTCGGCATAAAATATTTGAAATGATAAACTAGAAGACTTAAATGAAGCAAAACTCTCTTTTGTTGACAAATTTTTAAATGATTTTAGATCATGTTTTTGTTTTGTGCTAACCAATACATCTTGTTCATTTTTTATATTTTCTAAACTATAAATAAGAATAGATAATAATAATATTTAAAATTAATAATGTATTATAAATAATAATTTAAAACTAAAAAATATTAAATTGCCCACAAACTGTACCGCGGTCGATCATCGATCGATGGCAATGAACGATCTCTACGGTTTTTGACATCTTACGTGCATATACGCATTCTAGTCTTTCGTCATATTCTTCTCTAGAAATTAACTTGTTTTGTTACTGTTAATATACTAGTTAATAAGTTTATAAATAAACGGAACATCTATAGTGTTCCGTTTTTGTTTTGCTTTGATTTCTTGTGGTTCTATTGTAATTATTATATATACCTTCAAACTGATCATTGCTATCAAAATTAGTGCTGAACTTTATTTTACTTTGATTAATAGACATTAGAACTTATCCATGTCATCCTTTTTTAACACGCTTATATTAGTTTCACCTGTATGTATGTTTGTAACTCTCCACGCACCACGTATTATTATACTTGCGTATCCCGTCGTCAATGGCCTTGGGACTAGACTGTCGTTTATATCGCCTTACTATATATGAATGAACCAAACCAAACGCCCACCCATAAAACAAAGCTATACCTCGAGCATCATACGTTTGCGTACTTAAGTGGCTTTACATATATATATATACATATATACTATTAAAATTTATATATTAACACGCTTTATTCTCATTAAGAGACATAAAATGTATTCATTCTGATTACGGGGGATGATTCCCGTATCCACATTTTTCGTCACTAACTCCACGTTCTGTTGGTAATTTGCGCACCTGCTGCTTTCCTTGGATGTGGTAGCCGTTACTCAGACTCCCTACTCGGAATCGAACCCTGATTTCCCGTTACCCGTTACAATCAAGATATTAATAGAAACTACTATCATAATATAAAACTAAAAAGTAAAAAATAAATATAGTTTAAAAAAACTAAAAAAACACACTTTTAAAGCACATTGAACTACAAAGTTAAAAATAATTTTTAAAAGAAGCTTAAAACAATAATGAACGAATAATACTAGTATTATTGTGATAAAAGCGTGGGTGCTTTGTGCCATATTTTTCGTATATTGAACGCCCGACGCTTTTAAAATAATGAATTAAAAAATGTTATTTAATTATACATGGAGCTTTGTTTTTCACTTTCTGTTCTTCCCTTATATTATTAATATTTGTTTTTTTTTTAATTCAAAACATATTATCTCCTTCAACGAGAATTTTTCTCGCTTGGCTTGGCTATTAGGTCACTGTCCAGTGTTCCCCTGGCCAGTGGGTGCTTAGGCTGAATTCTTACAAGATATTTTTTATTTCCTAACATACCAATGTATTTCTTTACTTAATAATAATTTAATGAACTAACAAATAAAGTCATAAAAACAATATCGAAAAATCAAGTATAGTAACCACTCAGCATAGTAGGATAAAATATAGTTAAAAAATTTTTTTAGTTTTTTTTATAACTATATCAGCCCATTAAGGACCATAGCTGCCACCTTAAAAAAAGAGGTTTCTTATCGATTTATACTCGTTATGGACGAGTGGTTGGTGCATCATCGGAGAGAGTGTTGACGACTCCTAAATGGTAAATTGATCTATCGTTCGTCAAATGAAGCCACACGTAACCGAGTTTCGAACACGAGGCAGTGCGCATCAAACATTCCGCGTTACCGAATTGGCCACACTGTCCCTTTATAATTTAAATACATTGGTATAAATTTGACATCGAAAACGGTCCAATGAAAATGTCGTTGAAGAAAATTAATTTTTATTTTAAGGGATTTAAATTATTACTTGATAAGAAATCAATGTCGTCTAATACGTCTATATTATTCATATTATTATATATTACTTAAGATAAAAATTAAATCCAAAATGTTTTTGATACTAAAATTGGTATTTTTTTTGGTATAATTTGACTTTAACTTTCCCCGTGGATAGGGGATAAGAATACTTCCACGGCCCCTCTGCCAGTCGTAAGTGGCGACTAATGAGGTTGTGTCAGGTCGACAGTCGGCGTAAAAATCTTTGTCAAAATAGTATGAGGAATCCTGAACAAAATTTAGGCGGAATGTCCCATCTCAGATATACGCGGGGACAACAGAAAGTAGTTAAAAACGGAGAAGGCCTAAGGAATAAAGTGTTTGATACCAGCTGGACAACTTATGCGGTAGCTGTTTCACCAGTCATGTGTTGTGTAAACGGTGTAGGATAGATAGATCCTATCCTAATCCTGTAGATTCAGGCAAAACAGGTCAACGACGGACCAGATCTTTATAATCAGACAGCTATTCCAGAAAAGCTGGGAATACAATAAGGAAAACCATATAATTTTTGTAGATTTTCAAAAGGCGTATGACACTATAGACAGAACTAGCATAACCAAAATTTTGAAGCATTTCCATTTCCCAAGGAAAATAGTACATTTAATTGAATCTAGTATAAAACAGACTATAGTCAAAGTCAAAGTAGGAAACGCAACATCAAGGATAGTGGATGTAAAAACCGGACTTAGACAGGCTGATGCCCTATTACCAATCCTTTTTAATTAAGTATTAGAGAAGATGATCCTAGAAATGAATATTGAATGAGATGAAGGAGTAAAAATGGATAGAACTTGTATTAGTTTGCTTGCCTATGCAGACGACATAGTCCTGCTAGGGGAAGAGGAACAAAAAGTGGTACACTTAAGTGACAGGTTAATAGAATCGGCAAAAAAGGTAGGGTTACATCTTAACACGGAGAAAACACAATACATGAAAGTTAGTAGTGAACGAGGTAACGTTCCTATAACTGAAACCATAACAGTGGATCAATTGGAGTTCAAAAAAGTGGAGGAATTTAAATACCTGGGAACTATTGTTACACAGAAAAATGAATGTCAAATAGAAATTCAACAAAAAATTAAAATGGGAAATAAATGCTTCTATGCATTAGGCAAACTTTTAAGTTCTAAAATCCTTTCAAAAGAAGTCAAAACACAGCTGTATCTGACAATCATACGACCAATAATCATGTAAGGTTCAGCAGAACCTTGGTGTACTCCCACTCTTATCCGAAAACCTTCTGATATTCCTCCTACGCTTTTTACCCTGGTACAAGTGCCATCATATATATCTTCTATTATATTAATGTAACTATTCGGGACTCCTTTTCTCATTAATGCCCACATTAAAACCTCTCTCGGTACTCTATCATACGCTTTCTCCAAACCTATAAATATTATACTGAGCTTTTTCATTTTTTCCCTAAACTTTTCTATTAGTTGCCTCACACAAAATAATGGCTCTTTTGTTGACCTACCAGGCATAAATCCAAACTGGTTTTTAGATACCGATATCACATTTCTTATTCTCTTATCTATTGCCTTATCTCAAATTTTCATACTATGACTCTTAAGTTTTGTGCCTCTGAAATTTCCACACGCCTCACAGTGGTCTGAAATCGAATTTTAGGCGCTCATAAGTCCCATTTTAAAATGTACTCATAATGTTAAAATAATTATGAAAACTCAATTCTAGTATATTGCTTAGACAAAATATAAAATTTCAAGGTCACATGTTAATCCGGTCGTTATTTATAGCCGTTTGAAGTATAGATATGGTTATATTACGGTTATTTCAACATAAAAAACGTCTTTCGTTGTAAAGTTTTTTAACAAGTTAAAAAAATTTTTTTTCGAAATTTTTTTTTTTATTATTTTATTAAAAGTAAAGATTAAAGATATTAAGAAAAAAAATTTCGAAAAAAAATTTTTTTTTGACTAAGTAATGATCGTTTTAATAAAATAGAGCATTTTTTGAGGCGTTTTTGAAACTAAAAAGCACAATACTAAAAATTACCCTATTTTACCCAAGTATCAATGCATAGATATTGTAGAGCAACTAGTCTAGATTTCAAAAATATGATTTTTTATTGCGGCGGACAAAAATAACTGTGCATAAGGCTAATAAGATTAAACCAATTCGTACATTTTTTATTTACAATTAGCTTTCATTTATTTCAATTTCATTAATCTTATCCATGCATGTAGTGAAGATAAACCATACTTTAATGATTCATGATTAACGTTGTATTGTAGAACATTATTAATATCATTCATTTGTTTTGGAGAAGCGCCACAAATAAAACATTTTTGACTTGAAGTATCAGTCATAGAATTGCACACCTATTTAATATTAAAATGATCAATTATTATATAATATATAATTTTATATTTAATAATAAGAAATCTTACTTTATAAACAATCATTTTTAAAATGAATATATTAATAGCAAAAATTATACTACAGAAATATAAACTTACTTTGCCATCTATCATTGTAAATAATAATGTATGTTTTACCATAATTTCTTTATTGTTAAATTGAACTTTTGATGTAGTCAATTTTTTTATTTGGACTTCTATTTTATTTACTTCAGTCAATGTTGTTTGAACAGTTTCTTTTTCAAACATAAACTTAATTGGACGGCAAAATCGTGTTGATGATGTACGTTCATTAATCCAAATTATGTTTTTTTTCCTAATTCATTGAAAGACTGCAATTGTAAAGGCACTAGCGAAAAAAGAAATACATTTCCATCTGAATAATTGTTTGAAGGATCATGATATATTTGTTTGTATTGTGCTTGTCCACTACTACCATCACAGCCCCACTTGTGAATAATTTCATACATTTTATTATAATTTTCATTGAAATTAATAAAAGGTATTAAAAATAATCTTTGACTAATATGGTCAAGTAAGTCCTGAAGTGGAATTTCACAGCGTGAGTCAGAGATTATACAACGTTCAGGGTAACATTCCCTTTTAGCAGTTATTATTTTATCATAAGATGTCGGCTTTCCTATTTTTCGCAGATAGTCTTATATTTATATATTGCTGTTTCGTCAAATTGTTTTCTACAAAAAAAGCCAAGGCTTCTTCAACAGTATAAGGAACCAAGTCTGATAAATAAGTCTTATTAATATTATTTCTAATTTTAGTCGCTTTTTTTGGTGAACTTATAGACTCTTTTACAACTTGTGCTATGCTTCTTTGACCAGATACATTATAAGTATACTGTGAGGCATGGTGAATTTCAGCAGATGACATGTCAATAGATGACAAAACATTATTTATTTTACGTCTTTTAGTACTCTCTCCACAATTCATAAATTCTTTTACAGGGCGACCAAGACTCTGTCGGGTTTAAATGGAATTTTTTTTAAGCGTGTTTTTATGAATACTAAAAGACATATCAAGCCATTCTCTATTTTTTTCGCAAAACTTATTTGAATTTCGAAATGACGAAGTCCACTTTTTAGCTAATGCCAAAGTAAAATTTAAAATTGCACTTTCTATGGATTTGATGTACGCATCATTCCACTTCAAACCACTATACCTT